GAAAATTTCGCTACTTAGTCTAGCCTATTTTTCTAAATCGTAAAGCGGCTAATTGAATTAAATTTAGGAAGCGTTTCCTAGACTGTTCAAGAGGTCAGATTTAATCGTAGAGCATCTCGCGGTTAGATTAAAAATAAGGAAAAATTTTGGGTAACAGACCGTGTCGTTACCTAGGGCTAGTAATTTCATAAGATAGCGAGATTTGATACCAAAGTTGATTAGACGAGTCAGTCGAGGTTGTAGACGGAACCGTGAACTAGAAATTTCTCTTATTTATTTTATTTTTATTTTTATTTCGTTTGTCTAGATTTTATTTATTTTAGTTAGTTTAGCTATTAAATCACAATCCCCCCTTTTTTTTATTGCTTTTATAGTTTCAAATTAATACAAGAAAATTCACAATTTGATTCCCACTCCTCGTGGGATCGACCCTTGCTCGCCACTACTACTAGTTAGTAGAGGTTAGTCGAGGAAAATATAAATTTTAATTTTGCCGCGTTGCGACGCGCGGTCAGTCATGTGATTGGAACAACCAGAATCAAAATACCAATGTGATTTGCCTCCGATAGCAGACATAGAAGAATTGGAAAGAATAACCTGTTTGAGAATAGCTTTTATGTCTTGAAGAGTGTAAGACGGATGTTGAGGCTCAGTAGTGACAACCGCTGTAACAGAAGAAGTGACGGTGGAGGAAGAGCCATGATGTCGATAGAATGAACCTCTTGAACGGTGCGATCTGGCTGGACAATATGTAGCAATATGACCCTGAACATGGCAAATGTGGCACACCACCGTAGGACAAAATGGAGCAATATGACCCCGAACATGACAAATGTGGCAGACCACCATAGAAGAATCCATATCCAAAAAATAAAGAAGCACCAGCAACCAGCAACAGTACCAAGACGAAAGAAAATTACGAACTGGATCACAAACCGGATAAAATAGCAGTAACAGGCCAAAATTAAAAAGTTCACCAAAACCAAATTCGAGCACACCACAAGGTAGCCGACGTCAACAGGAGTCGGCGGCTGAAAGACGGCGGCAATCGGCGTTGGAGGTGGTCCACACGTGCGGCAGGAAGTCGGCAGGACTAGAACAAAAATTACGCGCGTGTGAAGTGCATGCGCCGCCAAATCGGGCGTTTCCGGTGGCCGATTGTTCGCCGGGAGATGCCGGTCACGATGGTATGGGAGGTGAGACTTGGATCTTACTGTAAATGAACGGCGAAGCAAAAAGTGTATATTGGACCTTAAACCTAGTCTGATACCATGTGAGAAATTTGGAAAAATATGATATGTATTATTCACAAGACATGTACACATATATATAGATACATAGAAAGGTCTTAGCCGCCTAAACCTAACTTATTATACAAGAAAATATTTAACATAACTAACAATTATAAATGAACATTTATCATATGTATAAGAGAGTAGTTAATAACTCACGAAACTTTTATTTAACAGACCTAACTTTTCAACATTTTCACCAAATGCCCTTGTTAAGGATCAATTTATTCAGCTTCTATTTGCAAATACCATTGGTTTAATAATCTCCTGATTCTCGACTGATTTCTCTTATGCCTCGATGAAACCAATTCCTACTGAAAGCCGAAGCTTTTGCCCTTTTATTCTAAATTCCATTTTTCTCTTTTTTCTTATTGAACTATGCTAATTAATCCGGCTAGTCATTACTGTTAACCTTGTGTTAACTTTTTTTTTTTTTTTTTTTT